GTAAAAGTGGTGGGGTAAGACCCTTTGTCCAGGGTTGGACACACACACACACATATCACAATTTCATACAATTTCACAAATTGTGTGGTTCCACCGGTGCTATGGGCACTTGGCAAACAGAGTAAGTCTCGAATTTTGCAGGCGACATCTTCGTGCTGCGTAACGCTGGCAACACTTGCACCCATGCTGAGGGTTCCATGGTGGGCAGCTTGGAGTTCTGCACGGGCAAGTTGGGAGCACGCTTGATTTTTGTGCTGGGCCACACCAAGTGCGGTGCTGTCTATGGCGCCACCAACGCCTACATCGAGGCCAAAAGGGCGGACACCAGTGTCTTGTCGACATGAAAGGGTGAGGTGGTCAAGGTGTCTCAAAAGAACCGCTCACTTTTGGGTTCAAACTCAAACCAGAACCTCTCACTTTTCTCTGCACTTGATGCATTCGAATTGCAAGTTGATGTTGGCACAGAGCGCCGTTTCAGCGAGAGCCGTGGCCGCCGTGGCCCTTTGCCCAGGTCCCGGCTCAGCGCTTGAGGGCCTTTTGCTCGACTTGGCTCCTGTGGCCGACCAGGCCTTGAGAGACAGCATGGAGACCGTGGCAGCACATGCGGTGCGAGTGAACGTGTTCCACACGATCAACTTCTTGCTGAAGTACAGTGCTCCTATCCGTGAGAAGGTCCTCAGTGGACAGGTGGAGATCCAAGGCGGCCTCTACCACTTGGACTCTGGAAATGTGGAGTTCATGGGGCGATCTCCTCAGCAGGCAGAGCTGCTCAACTCTACCTTGCACATCCCTCCTTCCATGACATCGGCGGGTGGCCGCAGCACCGGCTATGGTCCACCAGCAAGAGGTGCACATGGTGTCCGCACAGCAGCGGACGCTCCGGTCTCCGCTGAAGAAGCATTGAACATGCTCAAAGCCGGCAATGAGCGCTTTGCCGTGGGTTCGCCATGGACCAAGCAAGCCGGTGTGAAGATGCGCGAGGCACTTGTGACCCACGGACAGGCTCCCCACACGGCCATCATGGGCTGTGCAGATTCCCGTGTGCCCGTCGATACTGTGTTTGATGCCATGCCGGGCGACTTGTTTGTGTTGAGGAACGCAGGCAACACATGCACTCACGCAGAGGGTTCCATGGTCGGCAGCCTGGAGTTCTGCTGTGGCAAGTTGGGATCCAAGCTGATTCTGGTGCTTGGTCACACAAAATGTGGCGCCATCGCCGGTGCCACCCAGACTTATTTGGCAAGCAAGGAAGGAGGTGCCGCGCGGAATGCAGGCAGTGCACTGGAGGGGCTTTTGATTCTAGGCCATGTCAGACTTTTTGGTCATTGTTTACTTTTGAAAAAGATCTTCTCAACTTAGTATGATACTTAGTATGATTCAAACAACCTTATTCACACATATTCAGAGCATCTGCAGTTTTCGGGTGACTTCTCGAAAAACACCAAGGATGGGACTCTCAGGGGTGGCTGAGCAGGCCCACGAGGAGCTGGGCATTGGAGTCGAGCCGGAGAAGTTGGTGTCTCACTCCGTGCGGGTGAACGTCTTCCGCTCCATGGAGTTCCTGCTGCAGTTCAGCGAGCCTCTGAGACAACTGGTCAAAAGCGGCAGCCTGGAAATTCAGGGTGGTGTCTTGGAATATGTTGGAAGCTATTTTCAATACATCTGAGCTGGGAGTCTGGGAGATTGAAAATGGGCTTGCTGAAACATGCATGCGGAAGCCATGAAATTCGAAGCTGGAAGGTCAAGTCATGTCTCAATGGCACTAGAAGGCATTTAGTTGAACACATTGAGTTGGCATACCCACAGGCTGAAAGCTCAGTTGGCAGACTGCCCAGAAAAAACATGATGAGGTTATTGGATTCTGATGGATTCTGATTGATTCGACCGACCAAGGTATCTATCACCTCGAGACGGGTCGCGTGGAGTTCATGGGTCGCTCGCCAAGGCAGGCAGAATTGTTGGCTTCCCAGGTTCCTTTGCCGCCCTCGGTGCAAGGCTTGCACATCCGCACCACTGCAGATGGCTCAGTGCCACCGAAGGAAGCCTTGCAGATCTTGAAGGAGGGCAACAAACGATTTCTGTCAGGCGAGACTTTGTCCGGCAACGTGACCACTGGAATGAGGAAGGCATTGGTTGCCGATGGCCAAGCACCTTTGGCCGCGATTTTGGGTTGTGCGGACTCTCGTGCACCTTTAGAGACGGTGTTTGATGCCATGCCGGGCGACATCTTCGTGCTGCGCAATGCGGGCAATACTTGCACCCATTCCGAGGGCAGTGTGCTGGGTAGCTTGGAATTTTGCCTTGGAGCGCTCAACACCAAGAGACTCGACGAGCTATCGGACGCAGAAAGATTGGGGTACAAAATAGGTCCAAACGCCTTGAGTGTAGCAATGTGAGGTTGGAAGGATGGTAATAATGTACTAAATTAATCGAATATATATATATATATATATTGTAAGGGCTTCGCCCGGGTGCCGCCGACCCCTTTTCAAGAGG